AGCTGTAGAATGCAGCTCAAAGGCCCCCCAGCACAACCCAGACAGATCCCCAATCAACAAACCCGGAAAGTATTCAGCTAAGCCAAAAGAAACAGCCATGAGAATGATGGAAATTGCAGAAACCCCCACCTCTGCTCACCAAGGGGAAAGAACTCCAGCCTACACCACAGGGACGGTGGATGCCTCAGATGACAGCTCGGAAGGCGAACCCCTGGTAAGTGGACGCATCACACCCATCTTCAAAACAGTGACTATATTAATCCCCCCCATGCCCGAAGCTGTGAAGGTGAAAGCCTTAATAGACTCTGGCTGCACCCGCTGCCTCATTAGCCCAACACTAGTGGGGAATCTGGGCATCCCATCCAGGAGACTGGAACAACCAATCTCATTTGGCCAGCTAGATGGATCCATAGCAGGGGGGGTGCCAGCTACCCTAGCCACTCTGCCAATACACCTCTCCCTGGGCAACCATGAAGAGGACTTAACGTTTGTGGTGACCCCAGGTATGGAATGCCCAATGATTCTAGGGATGGAATGGTTGAAAAAATGGAACCCCTGGGTAAATTGGAGGACGACAGAAATCAAATTCCCGAAGGGGGACCCTATGGACTTAAAACCCCAAGGGAGGCTACCAGAATCAAGAATAGAAAAAGCATCCATAGGAGAGGAAAAAAGATTAACAGAAATACCAGAGGAATATAGGGACCTTGCTGAAGTCTTCAGTGAGGAGAGGGCGAATGAGCTCCCCCCCACCGACCCACAGACTGTACCATTGAATTCAAGCCTGGGGCAAAACTCCCGAAGCCCAGATTATACTCCATGAGCCCAAAGGAGAAGGAGGAAATGGAAAGATTTATAAAAAAAAACCTGGAGAGAGGTTTCATTGAGCCAGCCAAGCCTAAAGTGGCTGCCCCGGTCCTTTTTAGAGAGAAGAAGGATGGCTCTTTACGTTTATGCGTGGATTATAGGGCCCTGAATACAATCAGTGAAAGCAACCTATACCCGCTGCCCCTCATGAAAGACATGCTGTCACACCTATCGAAAGGGAAAATTTTTTCTAAACTAGACTTAAGGGAAGCTTACTATCGAGTGAGAATCAAGGAAGGGGACGAATGGAAGACTGCATTTAACTGCCCCATGGGGTGCTATCAATTCAAAGTCTTGCCATTTGGATTACAAGGGGGCCCTGCAGTCTTTATGCAATTAATCAATGACGTTCTAAGGGAGCACCTGTTTAAGGGGGTCCTTGTTTACTTGGACGACATTCTTATCTTTACCGAAACAAAAGAAGAACACGTCAAACTTGTCAGAGCGGTTTTAAAGAAGCTGCGAGCCGCTCACCTATATGCCAAACTCTCAAAATGCGAATTCCACCAGGAAAGGATAGACTACCTAGGCTATCGCATATCCCCACAGGGCATTGAAATGGACCCAGAGAAGGTCAGAGCAGTATTAGAATGGGCACCACCCCGCACAAGAAAGCAACTACAAAGTTTCCTGGGCTTTGCAAATTTTACCGCCAATTCATCCCCTCATTTGCACAGATAGCCTTGCCCCTCACTAACTTACTAAAAACGAAGGGAACATCCTCAGTAAAACCTAGCCAGCCACTAACATGGACAATGGAGTGCCAAGCAGCGTTTGAGAGACTAAAGAGACTTTTTTCTGCCGAACCAGTACTAAGGCACCCAGACATGGACAAACCCTTCATAATACAGGCAGATGCAAGTGATGTGGCAGTGGGGGCTGTGCTATTACAAGAAAATGATGATGCAGTATTGCAACCCTGTGCATATACATCCAAGAAACTCACGGAAACAGAACAGCGCTGGCCCGTATGGGAGAAGGAGGCTTATGGGATACGTTGGGCATTACTCACATGGCGACAGTTCCTGGAAGGCAACAAAATCCCCTTCCAGGTGTGGACTGATCACAAAAATTTAGAAGCCCTGAAAACTTCCAGGAAACTCAATCCCAAACAAGCCCGCTGGTCCCAGCATTTTCACCAATTCCAATTTAAGCTCAAACATTTACCAGGAAGAAAGAACTTCCTGGCAGATGCTCTATCTCGCATGCCCCAATATAACAGCGCACGAACCACAGACTCTAGACCAATAATGGCAGAGTCACAACTGGCAGCACCAGTAACCACAAGAACCCAAGCCAAATTAAAACCACAACTGGACAGCCAAACTGGAATTGAATTCAGAAAAAGTTTGGAAACAGATGATTGGTTCCAGAAAAACAAAAATGTGTGCACAATGAAAGACGGGTTGCCTTGGATAGGGGAAAAGTTATATATACCAACAACTCAAAGAGTAACTTTCATGCACCTTTGCCATGACACAAAATCAGCAGGGCATTTTGGATTTGTAAAAACTTTACATTTAATTAAACGGCAATTTTGGTGGCCATCCATGAAAAAGGACATTGAAAGTTATATAGCCAGTTGTCCAAAATGTGCCACGGCAAAGAGGTTGCAAGGGAAAGTGCCAGGACTATTGCAAACAGTGGCAAGTCCCTCAGCGCCCTGGAGAGAAATAGCCATGGATTTTATAGTGGAATTGCCAGAAAGCAATGGGAATACTGTGGTCTGGACGGTCACAGACTTGTTTTCCAAACAGGTGCACTTTATCCCTTGCCAAAAGATTCCCACTGCAAAAGCCTTAGCAAAACTTTTCATCCAACACATTTACAGATTGCATGGGGCACCCCAACGCATCATCTCTGACAGGGGGGTGCAATTTACGTCTGCATTTTGGAAGGAATTTTTATCCCTCTTAGGAACCACTCAGGGACTGACATCTAGCCACCACCCTCAAGGAAATGGGGGGGCTGAAAAAATGAACTCAGTACTTAAGCAATATTTAAGATGTTTTCTTAGTTTCCAGCAGACCGAGTGGGCGGACTTACTCCCCTTTGCAGAAGTTGCCTACAATAATGCAGTCCACTCCAGCACAGGTTACACTCCTTTTCAAATAGCCACCGGTCAAAGCTTCAACCCCATGCCAGAATTAACCCCAAACGAACCAACGATCCCCTCGCTGAAAGAATGGATGGAAAAATTACAAAACACCTGGCCAATAGTCAGAAAAGCACTAGATGAAGCTAGGCAGGCTTACAAAACACAAGCCGATAAAAAAAGGGTTGAGCCTACACCATTCATTATAGGAGAGATGGTGTACTTATCTACAAAATACCTAAAGTCCCTACAGCCCTGTAAAAAACTTGGACCAAAATACATAGGACCTTTTCCAATTAAAAGAATCATAAATCCAGTAACAGTAGAATTAGAATTACCCAAAAATCTCAGGCAAATACACCCAATTTTTCATTGCAGCTTGCTGAAAAGAGAGCATCAGTCACCTCTACGGCCAAAAATCCCCCCCCCCACCTCCAATCATGGTGGAGGGTGAACAACACTTCGAAATAAAGGAAGTCCTTGACTCTAGGAGATATCATGGAGCAACTCAGTACCTAGTTGCCTGGAAACACCTCCCTCCCTCACAAAATGAGTGGGTCCATAAACGTCATGTCAGAGCCCCGAAGCTATTGAAGAAGTTTCACACAGAGTATCCTAACAAGCCTGACTAAATTTTATACTTGTGTTTTCTTTCAGGTGGATCTCTCTTATTGTTAAGAGGGGCCGGATGTCAGAATCCAATTATATTTCATCTTTAAATTATCAAATATAGAAACTCCCAATTCTGCCTTCTCTGGATTCTGCCATAAGAGGGAGAGAAGGGGGAGAACAAAGGGGCTTTATGGCCCTCACTTCCTTCTTTACACTTCAAAGAGCTGAATGCTGAATGTGTGTTTATTGTAACCTCGAAGCGTTAACATACCAAAGGAGGGAAGTTGCCTTTCATGTAGTTATCTGAAGTCTCCATCCAGACGGAAGAAAGAAGAAAGGGAGTGGAATTGTGATACTTGAAACTATCACTGGAAGGGGGGTTGATTGGGTGGGACTACTGGGGAACCCCTTAAAACCTTGAATGGGAGAGCTTGGACCCCAAGTCCTGTCTAGCATGCCTGCAACCATTTTCTCTTAATAAAGGATTCCTGTTGGAAGAATTATTCCAAGAGTTCTGTCTTCTTAAGATGCAAAGTGGGGTGGGTCCTTACAGGTTCTCTAGTATCATCTTTGATTTTTTTCCAAGATTTGATATAAGCTTTCATATAGTTTGTAGTTTCCAAAGTCTTTTCCAATATAAGTTCATAGTCGAGCTGTGGATAAGGTTCCTCCGTTTCAATGGTGAAATAGTCTTTGATCAAGAATAGTCTTTAATCTTTTAATGAAGACTATATTTCAAAAAGGTCAACAAATATCCACCTCCAAAATTCTAATAAACAAATTCATCACAGCTGTTACAAATCTTTTATCCTTTCCCTTTATTTCAGTGGTTCTCAACCTTTTTAATGCCGCGATCCCCAACCGGTCGTAAGTCGAGGACTACCCAACCGGTCGTAAGTTGAGGACTACCCAACTGGTCGTAAGTCGAGGACTTTCCCTGCCTGGGAGTGCCGCGCATGCGTGGTGCTGCCCCCTGTGCCGGCCGAGGTGTAGCTGGCAAGTGGCAGAGATGGCGCAGGCCGACCACCGGCTGGGCCACCAGCTGGCTCAGCCCAAGGGAGGTAAGGCACCCGCCAGACCCCACACGCACCAGCAACCCTCCCTGCGCCCGTCGGCCTCCCACCTCCCACCCCTGGCCCGCTTTTACTTACATTTTTAGTAGTTGCTCAGCAGGGAGGGGTGGAAACTTCCATACAACTCGCCTTCGCTGCAGACAACTTGCAGCACCGTTAGCAGAATGGGACTTTTGGCGGGCTCAGCAGTGCAGAGACAGCCTGGACAATTCCTATTGGCTTTTGAAAGCCAATAGAATTAGACTCTATTCAAGAGAGTCTATTCTATTGGCTTTCAAAAGCCAATAGAATAAAAGGGAGTAGCACAGCTAAGGAAAAGGAGAAAAAAATGGCGAACTGTGTTGTTTGGCGACCCCGTGAAATGGTCATTCAACCCCAAATGGGGTCTTGACCCACAGGTTGAGAACCACTGCTTTATTTGAAAGTCAAATTCATCAAATAGCAAAAGAGTTGTAATGGGATTTTTTTCCCATAAGATGTCCTCAGTGGACTGTAAACTCTTTCTTCCAAATAGGTAAAAATGTATCTCTTTTGGAAGCAGAAAAAACAAAAGCCAATATCTCCAATATAATAGATAGAGTAAAAAATATAGCATTTCTTTTTTTATATTTTTTTCAAGGCCCCAGGTATCCAGAAAGAAAAATCAAGTAGTCAATAAAGCTTTAATTATTTTAGTTCTTTTAAAACTTTCTTTCCCAAGTAGACAAAAACTGCACTCTTAAGATAGGGAAGTGATCAAAAACTTTTTACAGGCAAATAGTCAGGACAGAGAGAGAGGGAGGAAAGGTCTCACCTGGATTCACCAAGGTGGTTCTTTATGCTTAGATGATTTTCTGACTTCGGCTGGCACAGCTAAGTGATCGCCATTTTACTGGCTGATCTTCTCCGGCGACCCTATGGAGTTAGTTCGGACTGTAGAGGGAGCCGCCGCTCCACTGCAGCCGAGCAAAGCCTCCTCGATGGTAGTCGCCTCTCCAGGGCAATTTAAGACCCACATAAGGGTCTACCGGCAGAGGGAATACAGCCGACAAAGAGAGAGGTCTCTTTGTATGACTGAGGTGCTGCGATCCAGAAGTGGAAGTCCATAGTTTTTTGTCGAGGATGCCGCCTGAGCTGCAATTGCCTGCAAAATTGCCTGAGTGTCTCTTTGATGAACGTCCATTTTTTTCTTACTGCAGCACTGTCCTGATTGATTTTTGATCTACTGGACTTGCAGAAGTCAAGGCAGGGGCGGAAGATCCTTTTTCCCAAGTTTAGATAGGTTTTAAACGCTCATCATTGTGTTTATATCTTATATTGTAATCCACTAGGTAGCCAAATGGCCAGCTTTTTTAATCTAATAGGCTCCTATTGATAGTAGAGAAAATCCACAAAAATAGTTAAAAATAAAAAGAAAAGAAAAAGGTAAAAAATAGCCACAGGAGAAAAAGGAGGAAAGGATAATAAAAAGGAGAGAAAAAAGAAAATACTCCCAGAATAAAAAGGATAAAAAGAAAAAAGAAAAAGTATCAAAATTATAGTCCACCAAATTCTTGTTAAAAAAATTCTTAATTTCCAATTCTTCTAAGACAGCTTGTTATATTTCCAAAAACAATAATTATAATCCAAAGAAGCAGATGGCTCCAAATACCCTTTATTTATCAATATAGTCTGTCTTGTGAGGCCAAATAAACCAAAGACAAGTTTTTTCTCAGCAACATTTCAAGGTCTTAGATAAAAAATGTCTGGGCATGCAGCCAAACTTCTAGTCTAAATCATCTCCAAGCAAAAGAAAGTGAAAAAAGTTCTCAACGTAGCCATCAGGTGAAACAAAGTATCCATTCACAGCATGTTTAAAAGGAGAAAGAGAAAAAAAATATGAGAGAGAGAGAGAGAGAGAGAGAGAGAGAGAGAGAGGGCGCTCTAGAGCACTTGCTCATGATCTGTCCAATGAAATTGGCTTACACTGCAGTTGAGCAGGAGCAGGACTTTTTTGGTAGTGTCCTAGTTAGAAACTCTGCTCAGGAAATATAGCTCCCTATTCTGTTGTCTTGCCTTTTAGATAAACCTGTTTTTCTTCAGGCCCATTAGAATTTATCTTCTGTTGTCAACATGATATTTCTCTAAAAATGGACAGAAAAAGAGTAAATTTGATTGAGATTAAGCCAGCAAGTCAAATACAGAATTGAAAAGTGGACTGGCTCCAGCTAGGGCTATACAGAAGAAAAAAAAATCTCAGAAAAATGGGCTTAATTAGGGCTTTAAACAGGATAACCTTCAATAATAGGTAAATACTACCTAAAAGTAAAAAATGGTGACAAGATAAATGAAGATATGGGAAATTAGAATTGTGCTTCATATGGACTGGGGCACTTCCAGGTGGACCATCTCTAGCATCAGTTCAGTACTAACAAAATTTTATTTTCTCTTGATTTAACATTCTCTTGATTCTCTAGTCAAACATTATAGGCTGGCTAAGAAAAGCACTGGAGACAGATAAAAAAGACTGGCTAAAAGAAAATGAACCAGAAGTAGATCAGGATGGATATTATCAAACAACACTCCCAGCTATTGTATTTCAGGTATAAGAATATTTTTATGTAAATACTTTAAGTCACATTTAAAAACTTTAAAAAAATACAAAGTATTGGTAAGAGTTATACTCTTCTGATTGGATATAAAATATAAAATAGATTGGAACTTTTGAATTTGTTTTACTAAAGATTCTTGGAGAGATTCTTATATAGAGAGCTATGAAGAGGTGTCTAAGTGCTATTGTTATTCCATTGTTCATATCCCAAATGTAGATAATGTGTTCGTGTAGCACAAGCAAAATTTTGTAACTCAAATTATAATGGCAGGAAAAAAATATATTGTTCATCTGAATGTCTAGAAAACTTGCCTAATTCTGAGTGAAATGTTAGCTAATTGTTTTCTGGTTTTAGATGTTTGAACAGAATCTTCAGGTGGCTACTCAGATAAGTGAAGATTTGAAAATAAAAGTGCTGCATTTGTGCCTTCAACAAATGAGTTCCTTTCTTAACAGGTAAAATTATTATTATCAGATGTTTTTGGCAGAAACTTTGTAAAAACACAGTGACATGACCACAGACATTACAGACAGTGGTTGCTGAGCATCTGACATGCAGTCACATAACCCTGGTGAAAAGGATGGCCATTGGCACTTCAAAACCGAGTTGTAAGTAACCCTGGGGTAGTCCATCGTAACTCTAAACAGTCATTAAGAGACAAGTCAAAAATCAAGGACTATCTGTATAGATTTTTCTGCAAATGGTAATGCAATCTTATAGTTTGCCACCTCACTGTGACTTATGACTGAACCCATTGAATTTGCTTACTTTTAATTTTTTAAATAATTTTACAGAAACTATACACTACAAATGTATCCCTCTGGAAATTGCTAAAGCCTAATCTATCTATTCTGGGTAATAGATAGAGCAGTTTTAAGATTTTACCTTCTTTTCTCGTTGAGTTTGTTCTCCCTTCCCTTATTCAGGTATAAAGAGGAACCATATTTATATAAAGAGGAGCATTTAAGAAATCGTCAGTATCATCCATGCTATGTCCAGTACATGGTTACCATCATCAACAACTGTTAGACTTTTAAGTAAGTTTTGCATATGGTACCTAAATTTGACAAAAACAAACAAATAAATGCACTATACAAAAGGAAAAACAAATTCAGGGAAGGATGAAAGCAAGTGAATGCAAGTAGCAGTTCTTGATCTTCCCAAATGCAAAATTTATTTAAACAAGTGATTTTCAAACTTTCAAAGTTTAGTTATGCTGTTATATTATTATAATACTTATTGAAATATTTATTAAATATTGAAAATATATTTACTGTTAAGCCTATAACAGCTTCTATAACTTTTCAACATATTATGTAATATAAACCCCTTATAAAACTTCTATAAAACACATTGCAGAGCCTTTTGGATCAAATTTTAAGGCATGTAGTTCACTGCTTCTACATGAATCTTCCATTGCCCTTCCTCCTTCATAGAATTTTGCAAAATATTCATCATACTTCATCTCAACTCTTTTGACTATTCTCATCTTTAAGCTTTTCTAATCATGAAAATGCTTTGAAGAGGAAGAGAGTATTTGTTTAGCTGCTTAAAGTCCTGTGATTACTGTTGTGAAGTTCTTCATCTGGAATAGCCTTTATGTAAGGACCTGCCTCAATCAATCCTCCCAAGGAAGCAGAACTCTTGAAATAGCATCATTTCAAAAGGAACTTTTATTGGGACATGTTGACAGCAGGAATAGAAGGTAGGATGTGAAGGTTTCCTGCGTGAATCAAATAGTCAAAAGAGTCCAAAATAACCCACCCCCAGCTGTCCATCCAGACGGTTCAAACAGGCCAATCCGCAGGTGTGAAAGCGCCATGAGAACAGAGTGATAAGGCACCATTTCTTCCATGGTTGAAGATAAGGCAGATGGCTGGAGGCCACCCCAGGATGGGACTCCAAGCTAACCTCTCCAATGGACTGAGACTGGTAAGCCCCATCTTGTTGGCAACAGACCCCCTTGTGTCTGTGGATGGGTTTCCCAGACCCTGCCCATGTGGAGCCAGGGTAGTAAAGGGAGTTTTGGGTTTGAGCTCAAGGGCTGCTTTGAAAAGAAGGTGAAGGTGGCTACCTCTCAATTTTAACTTTAAAGCCCAGGGGAACAAAGAAAATGAGTGTATGTGTCAGAATCCAATTATATTTCATCTTTAATTATCAAACATAGAAAATCCCAATTCTGCCTTCTCTGGATTCTGCCATAAGAGGGAGAGAAGGGGGAGAACAAAGGGGCTTTATGGCCCTCACTTCCTTCAGTAGGCTTCTAAGGAGCTGAATATGTTTATTGCAACCTCAAAGAGTTTGAACCTTACCATAACAAAGGGGGCTATTTACCTTTCATGTAGTTTATCTGAAGTCTCCATCCAGACGGAAGAAAGGAGTAAAGGAGTGGATTTGTGATGCCTGAAACTATCACTGGAAGGGGGGGGGTGATTGGGTGGGACTACTGGGGAACCCCTTAAAACCTTGAATGGGAGAGCTTGGACCCCAAGTCCTGTCTAGCATGCCTGCAACCACTTCTTCTTAATAAAGGATTCCTGTTGGAAGAATTATTCCAAGAGTTTTGTCTTCTTAAGATGCAAAGTGGGGTGGGTCCTTACAGTATGTCTGTGTGTGTGAGTGAGAAGACCCTTTTTTCACATCTCTTGCTGCCAGAACCATCTTCCTGTCTGGCATTCCTCTCCAATAAACTGCAACCTTCTTCCCAAAGCAGTTGCCATGTTTATTCCCAGCTTGGATGAACCAGGATGAACTTCTAGTCTAAATCAGCTCCAAGCAAAAGAAAATGAAAAAAGTTCTCAATGTTGCCACCAGGTGACACAAAGTATCCATTCCCAGCATGTTTAAAAGGGGAAAGAAAAAAAAGTCAAGAGAGAGAAAAAAAGTTTATAGAATTTAAAAGGTAAAAAGTAAAGGCTGCCATGGGTTTCCAACAAAAAACATAGGCAAAAAGCCTCTATAACAGTGATGGCGAACCTTTTAGAGACCGAGTGCCGAAAACCCACTCTCACTCCATCTCCTGCCCTGCCTGCTCCACCCCTGCCCTTCCCGCAGGGCCATGCACCTCTCCATGGCCCGCCACAGCAGATGGCCTAGGTAGCCCTGCAGCGCCATGGCAGCCATACCCTCCACCCACACCCCGCAGCATCATTTGCACGCTATGGGGTGCGAGAGTGGAGTCTTGTCCCTGCTGCCCGGCTATGTCCTTGGCTGCGCTGCTCCATGCGGGCTGTGCCTGGGAGCGACTCTCCTCCAGGGGGGCTGCTAGTGAGGAGGGAGCTGCAAGGGGAGGCGGGGCTGGGGCAACGGTGCACGTGCCCACAGAGGGCTCCAAGTGTCATCTCTGGCACATGTGCCATAGGTTTGCCACCACTGTTTTATAAGAACAGGACCTTCCCAAATTTCTCTTGAGCTTCAGTCAGCTTTATTATATAAAGAGTTTTTAAGTTGCACAGAAACCACCACTTAAGTTCAGGAGGGAGGGAAACTCCATCCCCTCCCTAAAGGTGAAAGGTTTCTCTCCAAGCTGTAAAGAAACTATTTGCCAAAAATAAGCATGAGAAAGAAGATGGCATTCTCACCCGGCTCAGTTGTTTGTTGTCATTCTGAGCTTCTTCTCCATCTCTGACCATCAGCTGGTAATGGCGGATTGCATAAATGTGGTCCGCCTTTCTTCTGCTGATCTGGAGGTTCCTTTGCCTCCAATGAGCCAGCTACCATCGACCTGCGGTCCCCAAAGCTTCACTACTTGGTAGCCACCTCTCCGGGGCAGCTTTCAGCCAGAACGGACTCATCGGCAAGCGAAAATCAGACCCAGGGGGAGGAAAATCTTCCCCGGGTCTATTCTTCAGCAATGACACCAGAAACTCTCCAACTGACATGGTTCCGAAAGAAAGCAGATTTTCAAAGAATTTAGAGACTTTTTCCTCTAAAAGAAACTTTTATTATTCTGCATAGCTTCGGCACTAACAAAGTTAAGCCAGAAACTGAATCCTCCCTCCCCCAAGCATCTGTAACAAAGCATAACTCACTCCTTCATTTTACAGTCATCAATCACATTCTCCAATTAATGTGAACCGTGAGGTGCCCCTCCCGTTGCAGCTGAGCTGACCTTGGCCACACTGTGCTCAGACATTGTTATGGTTAACTACATACTTTCTCACCCCTTAAACTACTGCTATCTGTATTAACCCTAGAAATACTATACGGCTAAATAAAACAGGTTTGCTTCTTCATATATGGCAAGCAAGAACATACGATGTTAGCAGTCTTGACACCAACTAATGCTCATCTTCTTCTTTGATTTTGATGTGGTAATTAGCTTCCCGCAAGTCTAGCTTTGAAAATATCCTTCCCTTGGCCAGATGAGCTAGCATGTCCTTCATGAGGGGAAGGGATACATGTTTTCAGTGCACACCGTGTTCAACTCATGGTAATCAAGAGATGAAGAGAGCCATCTTTGTTCTCCTGGAACAAAACTGCAACTGCCACCCTAGGTTGGGCTGGCTGGATGAATCACTGGGCTATGTTTTATTGATGAAGGCATGCAGCTAGTCTAGCTCCCTAGGGTTATTGAGTAAAGCTTAGACTTTGGCAACTTAGGTCCAGGGACAATCTCAATGGCATAGTTGATGGGTTGATGGTGGGGGGAGTTTATCCGACCCATGCTCGCTAAATACATCTTTCAAGTCCTGACATTTTGGTATGTCTGGTATTTGCTCTCTTGTCACAGTTGCTGCCATTTCCCATTGGGACCTCCTTTGGGGAAGAGCACAATGCTCAGCACCCAGTGGGATTTTTTTCTTCCCTGGGAATTTTAAAAACCCTTTCCTCCAGTCTACCCATGGGTTCCACTTCTTTAACCAGACCAAGCCTTTCCATCTCTGGGGTTACTATTTTCCATTCATCTTCTTTGATTCTGATGTGGTAATAAGTTTCCCGCAAGTCTAGTGGGAAAAAATCCTTCCCTTGGCTAGGTGAATTAGCATATTCTTCATGAGAGGAAGGGATGAAATGATAGAAGGTGTTGAAACTACAGGAACCTTGGGGGGGAGTGACCATACAATATTGGAATTCAACATTATGCAAGCACAAGCAATAGAACATAGTCAAACTGGAGTCTTGGACTTTAAGAGAGCTAATTTCAACAAACTTAGAGAGAGCTTGGGAAGGATTTTATGGATAAGAATTCTCAAGGGGGAAACAACTCAAGAAACTTGGGAAATTTTGAAAAATGAGACTATAAAAGCCCAGTCTAGCATAATACCAATGAAGAAGAAAAATAACAGCTCTCAAAAGAAACCAGCATGGCTGCATAAAGAACTCTCTGATAAATAAAAATGAATATGCTGCCGAAGATTCTATTTTTATTTCAAATAATTCTGACAAAACTTTAGAAAAAAATCTTTCAAGATTTAAACTCATATTAATTTTGAACTTTATTTGGCAGGGGAAAAAAGCTAGAATTAAGATGAAAACACTACAAGACGCTAAGGAAAATAGAGGATTTGAGCTGCCGGAATGGGCATTGTATTATCAGGCATCTGTTTTAACATAGGTGAAAGAATGGATAATGCTTAGAAACAAAAAGGTTGTTATATTTAGAGCAGGGGTATTAAACTCAATTTCACTGAGGGCCGCATCAGCATTGCGGTTGCCCGGGGGGGGGCTGGGTGGGTGTGGCCAGAGTGGGTGCAGCCTACTGGGTGGGCATGGATGGAATGGGTGTGGCTTACTGGGTGGGCATGGCCAGTTCTACATCATTCGTGTCAAGGGTGCCAATGGGGGCCGGGGCAGGAGTGGGACAGATCTGAGGGTCTCTGGCAGAAGCAAATGGAGCAAGTGCCAAGGTATGGTCCACCAGGACAAGTGCCAAGATGGCCACCACAAAATTGGACATTGGCTCCCAAATGGCCTGGGCCAGGGCCAAGGCAGTGGGGGCCATTCCCTCA